CGCCAAATGAGAGTGTCGATAAATTGTTAAATTTCAAGCTTTGCGAAGCTTTGAATGCCGCTATTGATATGGAGGATCAACCCGCTATGCCATTCGATGCTGACGATCCGATATACAAAGCTGCAAAGTTCATTATAACGCACATAATTAAGAAATTCGACAAGGATTTAAGTAAGGACCCGAAAATTTGCAAGAATGTGCGCGAACGTGTGGATCAATTCTTTGATGAGGCAAAACGTTTTGTGCTCTTTGTAAGTGTTTTTTTATACCTTGAACAGGGTACATTTAGTTTGCCACGAATTTTGTAATATCCAGAAGGAAACGTCGGAGGCCCCATAAAATATTATTCACTTAGATTAGATTGACGAGCTGAGCCGATTTAGCCATGTCCGTCTATCTGTATATACACGAACTAGCTCCTCAATTTTTGAGATATCGCTCTGACATTTTGCACACTTCCTTTTCTTCTCAAGAAGCTGATTATTTGTCGGAATCGCCGATATCAGACTACTAAAGCATATAGATGCCATACAAACTGAACGATATAAATTAATAATTGTAAGGAAAACTTTTTTATTTAACATGCTATCTTACGAAATTTCGTACGAATTATTGTCCAAAGCAATCTCCGAATAGATTTTTTAGATCGAATCACTATAACATATAGCTAGTTGCCATACAAACTGAACGTTATCAAGTTCTTGTATGGAATTATTTTCTTTTTTGTGAAGGCTATTCTAGCTTCGGTGCAACCGCAATTAACGCTCTTTTTGTTTCTAGTACAAATTGCTTTATAATAATCGTTTGATTTGTAAAATTAAAGAGATCGTCGCAAATTATTGCTTCTATACGTGAGCAAGTAGAAGAGGAGAATGCTGCAGGCAGCCGAAGACCAACCATAGTATCGTTCAGTCGTTTGCCATTGACAATTGGTGAATCCAGTTATGCGATACATCCAATGGTGGATATAAAACCAGTGGATGTGCGTACACCAACGCCAGTGGTAAAGTAGAACAAATTTATATTAAAATACATTTGATTTGTAATTTACCACTGCCTTCAGGGCTCACTGGCTTCTATCAAAGTGCAATCGGAGGAAAATATGTTTAGTAATATACCAAATTTGTGCCGCAACGAGTTGATTTTCATTGAACACTATATTATCAAATTCAAGCGTGAGCTGATTGTGGGTGTTGGCAAACGTGTGTTTTCAGCAATTGATTACCATTTCTCCAAAAAAATCATGGACGTACGCCCAGAGCTGCTTAGTGAGTTATGACACTAGATTTATTTAATAAATATATTTTTTTATAATTTTTAATTATTTTTTCTCTTTTTACAGATTTGAATCGTAATTTCCTAACTTGTGAGATGTCCAAAGCTATACTTAGCTATGCCACCAACAAATTGAATTATGAATCAAGCATTAAGCTGTGTATCAGCGCATTGGCCAGTGATATAATTTGGTCGTTGCAGAAACATTTGCTAAAACCTGAACGTGATCCGCGAGGAATTGTGCAACCGAAACCTTGCACTGAAAGTCCATCACCACATATGCGGCTTTGTTTGTACTGTCACAAACGGTAATCGGAGTGATCTGATTGGGAATTTGAGTAAATACTGATCATTTTTAAATAAACATGCATGTAAACCAATTTTTTTTGCAATATATTTATAAATAAAATTCCACTGAATGTTGTCTTTAACTTTAAGTATATTTATGGATGTGGAAAAGCTCAATATCACCTATTGTTGTTGCTGTAGTGACAATTTGTTGAGCTAACAATTCTAGCTAATATGAAAATCCGCGTTTCTTCCAAATAAATAGAACCTACTGTTCTTAATAATATAAAAATAATGTCAGTTATTATTATACAGTTTCCGATTTTTGTAAAAGCTAACGAGTTGACAGTCCGTGGCTGTATAGAAATCCGGTCTGTTAAGTTTACGAGTACTCAACTGCCAGACCAGTATACCATACCCCTTTTAACCCTGAAATCGTGGGATGGTATACTAAAGCCGACCTTTATTTTACTAGTGATAACGCATTCCCCAAATAGGTATTGCTTTCTTAAATATAAATAGTATTAGTTTTGCTATATCACGGCATAAGCATTCAAATACATACGATGGTAATACCACAACGGTTTATTGAACAGAATTAAATACAGGAGAATTAATGTAATTCACAAGTAAAATTTATTTATAATTGAATTTCACTCACCGTAAAGTAATTTTATAAATATTTACTCAAAAATAAACAACACACAATTCACCAATTCAACTTTTCTTGTTGCGCGCATGCTGATTTGACAGTCTTCTTTATTGTTTTCTTTGTATAATGTGAGTAATGAACGTCCTTACCAAAGAGAAAACCGAAGAGCTGCCAACTCTCTGTTTTTGTATAAAAAAATACAATTTATACTTGCAAAGAAATTTTTTCTTACATCTTATCTATTTAGTGGGATAACATGGTGGAATGAAGAAATTAAAGCTCTTGCAACGAGTTTTGATATTTCAAATTTATTTTTAAAAATCCATAAATATCACGAATAAACCCTTTCATTTTATTTTATTCTTTCGGGAATAATTTTATTAATCCGTTTTAATTACTTTGTGTTACAAAGGAGTTGAAATTAATTAAAATACGTAATACACGAGTCTTTTTCAAAATAATTAGCCAAACATTTATTTTTGATTTTTATTTTACTTCTCTTTTTAATATTTCCAAATTAAGGACTTTAATCTAATATAGTGCACATATGTACATACAAATATAAAGATATTTATAAATTTTATTTGTTCGAATATAATCTGCATTTTTTCCATCAAATTGTGTAGATATTTTTAAATATTCTGATAACCCTTTCTGATGTAGCCATTACTATAAAATTTGGTACATTATAATATTCAAATAATATACTCTAGTCATTAGCTATTACTGTAAAATGTTTTAGAAACCTTAAAATTAAGTCATCAGATTGTTGTTTGAGTGCATTAAAATAAATATATTCTACAAACGCTGTTTACTTTGCATATTTTCAATAAGTTATTTTTTTTCGGGGTTCCATTGATCTACGTTATGACTTTTTAGAAGATATTATGATAGATGTTTCTCTAAAATATTTTTTTTTTCAATATTTACGATCCTTATTTCTTAAATGCAACTGTCTCCTCTCAAATACATACAAAAAGATCTTCCAATAAATGCTTATCACTTTATCTAAGTATAGCAATCAATTGTTAGAAGTACTGGTTTTGATTTTCCATGCAGACAATATTGTTGCTTATGCTAATAACTACAATATCCATTTACGCTAAACTTGTTTGCGATTGTTTTTGTAAACATACAATCGACGAGCTTATGACCTAAACGAGTAAATCATAGAATTAAAATACAGAGCATTTCTTAAATCAAACTACAATAAATATTACTAGCTGAGATGTATTATAAACTATTTAATACGACTTACAAATAGTATATTATCCGATAAATCGGCTTTTCGCACTGAGGTCGGAACATTATTATTTAAATTATAAATAAAACTTGTATTTAATTACATAAAACATATAACAATAACAAAAAAAATTGACAACAAAAGCACCTAGGTATTCCAACTAAAAATTGACGTAAATTCAAATCGTAAAAGTTTGCACTGGTTGTATACCTTGTGCAGTGCAGTCATAAAAGTCCCTTAGTTTTCTTTACTTAAACATCATAGCTCATTAATAGCGGCGTGTCATTGTAACGCGGCGACGAATTGAAACTTGTACATGGCAAAAGCCAACAAGCTGGATGGCCACGTCCGAAAACTTCTGCAAACAAGCGGAATTGACGCCGACTAGAACGCTGCATGCCCTTACCCTTTGACTGTACAGCTTCCACGGCTGTTTCATCATGCAATATAGCATGCATCTGATCAACCATTATAGCCAAGACAAAAAGACCAAAAAGCGCTGATTCCAATAAGAGAATTACACTGTGCAACCTGTAAGTATGTAGCAATGTATGCAACCAGTTTCAAACTAGCAAAAAAAAAAAACTGCCTTACATTCTTGTTTGAGTCTCGAGTGTAGTTATATTGCAGTTGTCGCAGGGATATACAAAACTGTAGCCCACCAATGCAACGGAATAAACGGATAGCAAGCCAACATAGAACAAAAACTGTAGAAAAAATTTTTGATTTCGTTCGCCAACACAGTTATTAATCCACGGACAATGATGATCCATTCGTCGTATACAGCGTTTGCATATGCGACAATGATGGGCTCGTGGTGGGCGATATGTCTCGCACCGTGTGCAAACAGTCCTACAGTATTAAAGTGATTATGTACATATTTATACCAAATAAGCAAGTTGAATATATTATATGTTTATAGCTACCATTCGCTGCCACCGCCATTGTTATTTTTACCAGTTGTATGAAGATCTGAAAAATCTAAGCGATTTGCCGGTAATGGTACGCGTCCAGGGTCTGAAAGCACGGCTTTTAGGTGAGACATGCACAACAGGAACACGATTGTATTAAACAGTATTACGTGTACCGGTGCCCAAATACTGTATGATATTCATAAAATTTACGTATTAGCATTATTGATAATTGTTTTGGTGTGACATACCTAGCTTCCATCGTTTGCAAAATAATCCAACGCAGTACCACATAATCTGCATAAATAACTGCGCCATAGGTGATGACTAGGCACACAATGCCGCAAGGATCCCGTATAAAAGTCATTGAATTGCCTTTGTCACCACCCAACGATTACTCAGCAGCTACTCTTAATTCAATTTAATCTTCTAGTTTTCTAACTACTCAAGCAAACGTAGATACTTTGGTGTTTGCGCATTAAGTACGTCTTTGCCCGAAAAAATAGCTTGCTACAACCAAGTTTGAAGTCACTGCATACTAGAGGACCTGGTGTTTTTCTACATTCTAATTTTGTACTTTTCTAGTAATACTTGTTTTTAAAATATTTTACATCGAATTTTTGTTGAACATCACTACGATATCTTGTACAAAATTTACTTTTGCCATTTGTTTTCATCTGACATTTAACAAATAAATTTAGTTGGTAACGCGAAAGCGATGGCAGTGAAGAAAATTTCCTTTTAAAATATCAAATACAAGTGAGTAAAATAATACAAGTGGTACACGCTAAGGCAATACTTAGGATATGCATGGTGTACCGCTTGAGATCTACTAAATCAAAATTTCTTTTTGCTTGCAAACAAATCTTTCAAAACGCGATTTTCTCCACTACCTAATAATTTTCGCTAATTGGTACGACAATTAAATTAAAAGAATCAGGCAACCACTGTTATTTGACAGAAAAGTGCAATCCACTGGAAGTAGAGCAAGAAACGAATGACATTCCCAGCAATACCGATTTTCGTTAGTCATTTTTTATTAAAAATTTCTTCGGTTTAGTGCGGAAAACGCAACCGTTGACCGAAAAAAACTAAACAATACAATATTAAATTAATTAGGAGTGCATAAATACAACTAAAGGTCAATTGAGAGCACAATTTTTGACAACGTAATAAAAAAAAACATATTGATTGCTTGAAAAGTGCAGCAGAAGGCCAAAGCAAGAAATAAAAATAAGAAGGGGGAAAAACAACAAAAGGATAGTGAAAATCGATTGCAAAAGACGTGAACATTTAAACAAGTGTAAGATCGTTAATACGCAGTGCAAAATTTATTAATTAGTTCTTCAATTGAGCTCTTTAGCTGAGTATTTGTTTGAAATGGGAATTTTTACGCAATCGACACCGTTTGATGCGGATATTGGTGAGTTTTATTTTTTTTACAGGTATTAATTGTGTGTAATTTAAGAACACATAATTGACAAAGTTATCACAAAGAAAAAATCACCTGCGAAAGGACATTGACTGCTGTTAATATTTAGTTAGATTAGAAGGGTGTGTTTAGAAAATATATTAGGAGTTCAATGAAGAGGTAGGCAGACAATAAAGAAACGATAAACTAACCTCCTGTATATTGAAGCGACAGTGAACTACCACCAAAGTTCAATACACGCATGATTACTGTAAGCTGGTTTAAAAGTTTGTTGATTGTAAATGATCAAGTTTAATGAGTTTATAAAACGTTTTGACTTAACTATATCTTTCAAAGAATATTACCAAAATTAAAATTTTTAGATCTTCTTTGCAGTCATAATCGATCCAAATAAACTGATCGAGCAAAATCGCGTTCTTGTATGGCACGCATGTTTTGTAAAGGGTTTTATAACTAAAAAAAAGTAAAGTGAGATGAGGATCTCAGCGTTTCATATTGTTGGAAGTTTACACACCTTTTTTTTAATTAGCTTAAAAACGTCTAATTTTAGTTATCTTTTTCGTGTTATAAAACTTGATTAAACAGCAAGCTGTGAGTCATATGGCGCTAAACAGAGAACTTATACAAATTACGTATTTACCATATGGTACATATAAACGGATTTTAAATTGTGTTGTTTTAGTTGTTCCAAGTATATTACTTATTATTTATTTTTATTTTTGTACATACGTTCTTATGCAAATATACATAAACACTTTGTAAATGTACACGAAGCATGTGAATAAAAGTATAGTATGTCTTTACACTAAGTACGTATGTATGTGTTATCGAGATTACACTTGCAGTTAGCCATTCTTATCAGTTTAACTCGCATTATTTGTACTGTCTTGAACGCTTATCCGCCAAGCAAAGCTAGTTGAAAGATTTTTATAGTCAACAGACCGTCATCTGCAAAACTCATTTTACAAAATTTATTTATTTTATTGCATTTTTATTGTTTCAGAAAAAACTACAAGCGAAACAAATACAAACGAAAATTGGTCTCTTATTCTGGATGTGTGCGATAAAGTCTCATCCAATCCTCGCAGCGCCAAAGATTGCCTGAAGGCAATAATGAAACGTATGGGCCATGCTGACCCACATGTTGTAATGCAGGCGCTAACACTATTAGATGCCTGTGTAAATAATTGCGGTAAACCATTTCATTTGGAAATCGCTTCACGTGAATTCCAAAACGAATTCAGGCGTCTGTTAGCGAAAGCGCAACCGAAAATATCGCTGGTGAGTTAATCATAAATATCATCAAAATAATGAAAATATTCGCAGTAAATTATATTTAAATTATTAACATAGAAAATGCGTCAAGTGATTAAAAGCTGGGCTGAAAGCGATTTTAGGAGTGATCCTGAATTGAATTTGATACCATCGCTTTATATGAAATTGCGCCTAGAAGGCTACGACTTCAGCAATCTGAACGAGAATCCGCCAAAGTCAGCAGCAAAATTGACTGCTTTGAAAGATCCCAATGTGGTGAGCAGCCAACAAGAGGAAGATGATATTGCCAAAGCGATAGAGCTATCGTTGAAGGAGACCAAGAATAGTCCCAAGATACAAAGTAGCAGCAATGCTGGTGCCGCTGCTAGCGCTAGCACGAATGCTGCTTCGGCTTATGTATGTTCAAAAACGATGAAATATTCTTATAAACTAAATATTAAACAAATTTTAAATTACCAATTTTGTAGTCCTCATTGTATCCGTCATTTTCGGGTTCTGGTTCGTTGGCGAGCATTACTTCTACCGGTGGCGCCTCAAATAATTCCACCAATTCGCAGCCCGAGCCACGTAAAGTACGCGCCTTGTATGATTTCGAGGCAGCCGAAGAAAATGAGTTGACATTCTTTTCTAACGAAATTATACATGTGTTGGATGATTCTGATCCGAATTGGTGGAAAGGCTATAATCAACGTGGCGAAGGTCTATTCCCATCGAATTTCGTAACTGCCGATTTGTCTGTCGATCCGGAGCGTTTGGATATCAATCAACAAAATAAAACGAAAAAGAGCGTACAATTCGAGGATGATGCCAAAGCATTGCAATTAAAGACTGAAGCTGCCGCTGCGGCAGTTGCTGAACAACGAATCGAAATCGATGAAGAGAAAATCGATCGTCTCTTGCATCTGTTGCACGAGGCGAATCCTGAGGATCCCTCGCAGGATAGCGAAGAAATGTTGCGTTTAGAACAGGAAGTACATCAGATGGGTCCACTGATCGACACCGAACTCGAGCGTGTCGATCGTAAGCATGCACAACTCACACAGCTCTCCAGTGACTTGGTGGACGCCATCAATCTTTATCATTCACTAATGCGCGACGATCACATGACACTGGCTGGTGGCCCACAGGCTGCTGGTTATATGGGTGGCATGCCGCCCATAACCGGCGCGTTGCCTGGCTTAGCTTATCAGGGTGTGCCGAATCCACAGATGCTGTACGGTGCCGCTGGCTATCCGGGCAATGCAAATTTTCCACCACATATGCAGCAAGCAGCACATATGCCGACACATAACTATGGTATGCAATCGTTGCCCTACGGAAATCCAGGACAGTTGCCCGGCAATGTTGCGCCAGTCACCACTGCTGCACCAGTAGCGGGTGGCGCTTACTCTATACCCCAGCAGTATCAAAATGGACGCGTCAACGCGTCACAGCTTAATGGCAACGTATCTGGTGGTGTTGGCTTGAATTGTACGTATACATAGAATATATAATGTAGTTCGCAATTTATTATTTAAATTCATTTTTATTTCTGCTGCAGCACTGCCTCCGTCTATGTCATCGTTACCCTACATGGGTGCAGCTCCTCAGTTGCCGCCCACATCTGCACCGCCAGCCTCTGAACAACAACAAATGCCGCAATCAACTATGGCCGCTGCTAATACCACCAACGTCGGTGTCTTTAATCCGGTCAATCAACTACAGCAGTTGGGCAATATGCAGCCGATGCAGTCATTGCCACCAATGCCACAATTTCCGAATGGCATAAACGATAGCGTCAATGGTAATTACTTTGCGTTGATAAACAATGATAATTTGTAATAATAATATCTATACCTATAGCCATACCACCCGATCAATTACATCAGCAGCAGTCATTTCCACACCATCTACAACTGCCCCAACATTACGGCCCCCTACCGACGTCTCAGCCACCACAAAATGCGTTTATGACATCACCACCCACATCTGCCACGGGCATGGCTCCAGGCATGCTACCGCCCAGCAGTCATGGCATGCATAATCCAACAAACGGCGGCGATCAATTCAGTCAATTACAACATCAAATGGCTGCAATTTCGCTGGCAGGCGGCGTTAATCAGCCGGTAACACAGAATTTCCTTGTACAAAATGATCCAAAACATAACATTCCACTTTACCAGCAGCAACGGTAAGACGTTGGTTGGCATCGACAATAACTACGTTGTCATAACTTTTCTACTCGTCCCTCGTTTTGTTACAAAATATATATTATATCAACATCTAGAACAACAATGAGCTGCTCGCAACTGTTTGGCGCTCTCACATAACAAATAAAGAGTTGTGCATTGCCTAGCAATGTGCCTTCGCTTTGGAAATAAGCGTACTTGCTATGTAATTATGCGGCATTTTGCCTGCCACCTATTCATCAACATATATTTTGCTATTGTTATTATTCCTCCTTATGTCCGTATTATTCTCAGTCGCGTTGAAGGCATAAAGGCGTCATATTTTAATTGCTACTATTAATGTTAAGTTGTTTTTTTTTAAATATTGGACGAACCGAACGTATTGTTTCCTAACCTGGTTACTTGTGCTGGCGAACAGACGTTGCAGAAGACAGTTACACATACATACAGACTCTTGAAGATGTGCGAAAATATCTTATGGCTGAGTGGTTTATGAAATGTTTGAACAGTGTTGATACTAGCGGGATTTGTGTATGTATGTTTACCACACATCAAAAAAAACTATAATACTTTATATATATTTATGTATATGTAGAACCATGTTTTGTTTGTGTATGCGAAAGCAAAACAAAATGTAAAAGAATATTTGTATGAGAAATCAATATTATTTAAAAATTATAACAGTACTATTACTACATATTATATAAGCGATTTACGATAACACTAATGCAAAATGAAATACAGAATTATTAAAAAAAAAAATACTACTCATTTTTACACTATAAAGTTTGGAACAGCCAGGAGCGTCGGAGACCCCATAAAGCAGATATTTTAAATTTACAAGATATCGTATATATAAATGATCAATGTCAGTCCCTCAGCATTTAAGAAATCGATCTGAACATGTTCACACCACTCATCAAGAAGCTGCTCAATTGTCGGAACCACCGATATCGTACCATTATAGCATATAGCTGTTATACAAACTGAACGATCAAAATCAAGTTCTTATAAGGAAAACTTTTTTATTTGACAAGATATCTTCATGAAATTTGGCACGGATCTATGTAAAAGGCATCGCTACAAACTCCCTGGAAATTGTTGAGATCAGACCATTATAGCATATAGCTGCCGTACATACTGACCGATACCACCCAAGTCCTTGTATGGAAAACTTTTTTATTTGACAAGGTATT